CTCCACTAGGCAGGGCTCCATCTCTTACATGCAACTTCTCCCTTGCATGTCCATGTAACTCTCCCCCCCCCCGCACATGTGCAGGGTTCCATCATGACCGGAACCAAAGGGGGCTGCACAGAGGAGGAGGAAAGCTGCACGACAGTAAGAGGAGTCACATGCACACCTTAGAGGGATCCTTGTTTTTAAGCAAAGTTGTCCTAGAGAAAAGTAGAAAAATATGTAATTTGACGTGTGAGGTAGGAACGTCTTTTAAAAAATATAAACGTTCCTCACACCTAGCATCCTTTCTTTTAAAAAAACCAAACCTTCCTGTTATATATTTCATAAAATGCTGATCTGTCTTGTGACTCGTAAGGTACCATTATAAAACATCTGTGTGATGTTAAAGAAACTAGGACACTGAGAAACTAGGTACTTTCTCCTGTCAGTGAAACTGACTGACAGTATGTCATACAGAAGAAAACCTGTCAGATTCAATGCAGCATTAATGTTATCAGTTGCACTGCTAGGAAATACAGCAAAGACCACTGGCTTAAATGGCTTTAAAAGAAGAGACCAGATTTAGAGGAAATGAGTTATTGGACATTGTGATATATGGAAACCAGGCTGAGAGGCAGAAACTTTGGAATATTTTTGAAAAAAAATAATGATTGGCTAGGTTTCCTCTAAGGTGCACAGCTCTGCAAGCACACGCAACTCCACCCCCTTCCACGCAGTGTTCCTCCTCCTCCACACGCCCACAGCAATCATTTCCAGCCCCTTTGGTTCTGGTCCCAACTGATTGGGGGAGGCGAGTCCCGGCCACAAGGGGTGGAGCCATGCCCAGCGGGGCTGAAAATTAGAGGGAACATTATTGGGTAGAGTTACAGTTTCAAAGGGAGGAATAGTTGATTAATGTTATAATTATCTGAAAGTAACTTTTCCTGTTTTCAAAAAAAAAATAACTAGAATAGCTGTTCTTAGTTACTCTTAAAAAGAAACTAAATGTTTTTCATTGTACCAGGGAAAAATCTGTTCCAAAGGTTTTCCCATCTCTCTGAGCAAATTTTGAGAGGATGGCTGCAGGATGAAGTAGAATCAACTCCTCCCAGTTTCAGTGACAACAACCATTCAGCTAAACAATATTTAAGTTGGATCCAGCCCAATGACTCAATTGCGTGTTTTTTCTTGATAGCACCAATTTTACTGAAAATATGTGCATAGAGCCCAATCTTTCCCTAGAAACCTATTGTTTTGTACTGTATTTCAACTTGTGAGTATATGAATGGATAAGAGACCAAAGATTTGGGAGGATAGCTCAGTTTTCAGTAATAAAGGTGGGTGGAGGGAAAAATCAAATAATTATCTTTGTTGAATGTTTCCACTTCATCTTTATTAATTACATTACATAATAGCTTAGTTGCCTTTATTAATTGTATTGCATAGTTGCCTGCAGCTCTGATCAGTAGGTCCCCACTGAGCTGAATTATTTAGATGTCTTCCAAGATAAATTGTGAAATGCTAGATAATCCAGTTATTACAGTGATAGCTCACAGTTGCTTCAGGTTTGCAATAGCTTTCAAGACGTATGCAAAGTATACATATATAACTCAGAGAAAACAAGTTCTTCCTTCTCTTTGAACTGATATTGTCTTCATGCAATGTGCAAGCAGTCTTTGATCTTTACATTCTGAGGCTTAGTAATAAAATCTCTAATAGCCTGCGTCTGGTCAAAAATAGACTAATTATCTTAACATTTTTACTAGTGGGTTGAATGGAATTTTTATGTATGGTTAGGATCTCTGTAGAAACTAAAGCTTCCCTCCAGAACTCTCCTTTAAAATGACGTTTGCTAATGGGGCCAGGTATTATCCCCTTTTCACCTGTCCTAAATTGCAAGTGTTTGTTCCATTCCATAGAAGTTGTGGGGGAACCACAAAGAATGACCTGGCTTTTACTCTCCATATGGTTTTTTTCCATTTCTTTGCCTGGGCTGGAATATGATGTCTGCAGAATTTTGACTTTCCACACTGTCTGAACCAGGTCATATGCATGAACTGGAAAAACAACAAATTGGGGTAGTTTGTGGCTGCCCACAAACCATCCATGAACCCCAGAAAAGTGAACCAGTTTGAGGTTTGTTTTTCTGGTTTGTGGTCGGGGAGGAGGGGAAGGTAATGCCTCCACCCCCTCTGCTGCCCTTCCACCTCCTTCCCACTGCTCCCATTGCCTCCCTTCCTGGTCCTGCTTCCGCCTCCTCTTCTGCCACCATTTTCAGAGGCAGAGGCCGAGCTTCCCTTCCAGGAGCCGGAGCCGCTGTTTCTGCACATGCACCAACCTGCCAGCTGATAGGTGCACACATGCACAAAGATAGCAGGCATGGCTTCCACAAGGAGCCAAGTCTGCTATCTTTGTGCACACGTGCACCTATCACCACTGTCTCTGAAGATGGTGGTGGAGGAGGAGGAAGAGGCAACGGTGGCAGGACCAGGTAGAGAGGCGATAGGGGCAGCGGGAAGGGGTCAGGTGGGCATCCATTTTGCAGAAGCAAAACGAAGCGCAGAGCAAAGCAGAAAAAACTTCATTTTGTTTTGACAGAATGGCTTGCACAAACAAACTTGATTGGTGGGGGGGTTGGTTCATAGTTTGGTTTGTGCTCAACTGTAGTCACAAATATTATATGTTATTTATTGAGAAGTACATCTGCATCACTTCTCATTTGCACAATTCCCAAAATGAGTTACAAGAGCACCACAGAGTAATAAAATAACCCAACAGTAACCCTGTCATTCATCATATGAGAGGGTACTAAACAGGTAGTGGCTAGAGCAAAGATAAAAAGAAACCTTTTCAGCAAATACCTAAAATGTGCTACCACTGAGTCCTAGCAGAGGCAGTATCATTTTACACTATGATTTCTTGCTTTTAATATCAGCCAGGCATGTTAGCACTATCTGTGGTACATGTATATATTAGAATCAAAGGAAACTATCAGTCTTTGTGTTGATAAATCTTCTGACAGATGTAAGGAAATTCATTTTTTCTTATGTGTTGAGATCTTAGAAATATATAATCAAAAGTCTTGTACAAATATTCAAGACACTTGTGAGGATCATTTTAATGATTGTTCCTCACTTGGTGTAATGTTGCCACTTGGTGTAATGTTGCCACTGGGAAGGCTGCATACATATGACTATTCATCTCTTGATGTTTTCCTTCAGTTTCATCACCCCCAAAAGTAAAATTCATCCTGCATTATAGGAAAAAAATCATATGGATAAGAAATGACAGGAAGCTGTGTGATCACTATTGTATCTTTGCTACCTATGTCTGCAGCTGATAAACAGTTCCTGACCATATGGAGCCTACACAGTTTTCTGTGACTGGAGAAATTCAATCAATGCAACACTTATTGTACAAAAGAAGGTTTAGCAAATAGACAAGATAACACTATGGAAGAAACCCACTTCTAGTCAAAAGTAGTCTATCTTAACATTTTAATTTTGTTTTTAATTTTACCAATATTTTGTATATGTCTGTAATTTTAAATTTTACAGTGCTCTGATACGAAGAAAGAAAGAGAAAAAAGACTTCTCACTATTGAACAAAATGAAAAAATATTGTGAGGAATGCAAAACCTTTCTGAAACTTCTAGATGACTGAAAAATAAAGAACAGCTGACAGGTTATCAAAGAAAAATGGAACTTCTCTGTTCAGTGTCAGGATAGCTCAGGCTTCCAGGTGCTAGAAGACAAAAAGTCCTGGAAGAACCATTGACTTCATATCCTGTTTCTAAATTCCTGAGACCTTGCTGGAAACAAGTTAGATGGATTGTGGTCTCTTTCATGTGGAAGTATTTAGCTTCTCATTTGGACCTAATAAAGGATGGGGGACCTTTAGTTTACAACTTCTTCCAGGCCCATCCACCCATCCAGACCACTAGTAAGAGATCATTTGAGATATAGTCTAAAACATTTTTTAATAATAATAATAATAATTTATTGTCATTGTAAGTATATACACATACAACGAAATTCACAGACACCCAGAGACCAGACACATGCACACACATAAAATTCCCCAAACACTCCCCACCCACTAAAAGTCCCCCACTAAAAATACAAACATCTACACCGCAGGCCAAGTAACACAGTCCAACTAATTATTCACTACTGGTGGTCTTTAAGCTCATTATTAATTGCAATTATAGCTCTGGGATAAAAACTATTGAGAAAACGTGTGGTCCGAGTCTTAATTGTTCTATATCTTCTGCCAGACGGTAACAGTTCAAAAAAAAAGTTATAAGCAGGATGGGAAGAGTCCCTCAGGATGCTATGTGACTTCCTTAGACAGCGGGATGTGAAGATGTCATCCAGGGTTGGTAGCTGGAGCCCAATGATATTCTGGGCAATTTTAATGGTTCTCTGTAGAGCTTTTTTGTCCGCTACAGAGCTACTCCCAAACCATACCAGAATGCCATAGGTTAGGACACTCTCAATGGTGCTACAATAGTATGACAGAAGTAAATGCTGAGATAAATTTAACTTGCCGAGCATTCTCAGGAAATACAGCCTCTTCTGTGCCTTCTTCATTAGCATGTTGGCATTTATAGTCCATGAGAGGTCCTCTGAGATGTAAGTACCCAGAAATTTAAAACTACCAACTCTCTCCACTTCCTCACCGTTTATGTACAGTGGTAAATGTACATTTCTCTTCCTCCTAAAATCAATTATGAGTTCTTTAGTTTTTTTTGATGTTAAGTATGAGATGATTTTCTTTACACCAAAGTATCAACCTTTGTACTTCCTTTCTATAAGCAGACTCATTGTTCTCATTTGGTAGCTGTAGGTTCCTTATCTGTGACCTATACTGAAATACTGAGATCTTATTGATGTAAAAAAATCATATAGATTCTTTATAGTTTTATTTGGCCTTCTCATGTTTCACTTTATTTAGGATGAACAGAATGTGATTCAGTTCTCGTATTTTAACTCTCTTTTCCCCCTTTTCTTTTTAAGAGTCCTTGGCTGTGGAACACAACCCATTGCTGGGTTGGATATCCATATCAGGTAAAAATGTTTTATGTATATTCTTTGAGATGAAAATAACTGTAAAATACTAGGATTGTGATCACCAGAGTCTTTGATAGGACTGCAGATTCATCACAAGCCACCCCACTGTTGGGACTTGGTAATGGAGAAGGAGGAGGAAAGGGTTGGGGGATGAAAAGGCCCACTTTTTGCTTTGGCACTGACTGCTGCTCCCATACAGCTGGAGATGGGGGAGGGGGTGTGAAGAGATCTTGATGGGGGCAGACAGAAACTGACAAAAGGAGCTAGAGTTTCCTCTCCTACTAAAAGAACTTCTTCATGGCTTGTAAAAATCACGGCTTCTTTTGGAACAGGAGTTCCAAACTTCTGTGCTTTAAGCATGGCTCAAGAGAATGTCACCTGCATTGCTGCCAAATGAATAGGCTTTCCAGAAAGGGCAAATTTCCCACATTGATACTTAGTGTTTCCGTAAATTCATCAAAAGTGTACCTAAAAATTAATTTTTCTAAAAGAAAATGTGAAAACCTTTATAATTATTTGTAATTATAAAGAATTACAGTTACATAGAATTCTGGAGTCTTGCTTTGCCAATCTTGGAATGAACAATTGCATGTTTTTTTCTGTTCTGGTGCTAAAATGGTGAACTGGTAACACCATAACAAAAAAGAAGAAAGTGGAGGTGAGATGGGGAGACTTGGTCTCTTTAAGACCAACAGATTAATTTTAACATACATTTTCATTGAAAAGAGGATTATAAAACATGGTGGTTCATGATAAAATAAATGTGTTGGGTTTAAAGATGCTGTAAGACTCTTGTTCTTCCTTCCCCCTCTTTTTTTAAAAATCATACTGAAACAAATTAACATGGCTGTCTCTCTGAAAAGGGATAGCATCAGGAGCTAGTGCCATTCATGGCCTGAAAGATGGCACCACTTGAGAAAATCTGCAGTACCTTCTAATCATGAACTCAGGTGATGAGTGCTGAAAGGGCTTTATCCAAAATGTGCGGGAGGAGGTGCTTGCAAATCAAGAGAGACTTTATTAGTATGTCCAGAGGAACCCTGAGGTTAGCAGAAGTACAAAAGCATTTAAAGATACCTAAGGGGGCAACTATCCACCACTCCCTTAAAACAGTTCATTGACTACTGAGCATGCTTTTCAGCCAGAGGATGTCCATAAGCTAGAAAGGGCAGAGGGGAATGGACCCTCTTGGAGGAGGGCATGGCTGGAAACCCGAACAGGATCATTTTCTTGTTGAGATGTGAAAATATAGTACATCACTTGTTACAGCTCAACTTGCCTTATCATACTACTGAGAGCTAAAGCAAATTTAATAGTATTGGGCTGAAAATAAACTGTTAATATACAGAAATTCCCCAGAGTATGCTTGATGGGAGAAAGAACTCTCCAGTCTTCCAGAATATTTTAATAGAAGTTGTAGGGCCAAGGCACAACAAATAAAATTTTAAGGATACTGTAAAAGATGTAAACATTACAATTTTTTTGAGGAGGACTTGCTGGATTAGGGAAATGCACTTCATCTCTTAGATAAAGTAATAAATAATTTCTCAGATATCCTGAACATAACACGTTTGCTTCATTCTCCTATGGGGCGGGAGGAGGAGAGTCACTGTGCTTCACAATAAACATAGAAATATGTTATATGTCCATTTCAGTAGCTAAGAAAGAAAGCAACATATGTCTTTCAGATTATTTGAATGAATATGAAAATTTTATTCACATTGAACTTGCAGGAAACCTTAACTGAAGCAGGTTTTATTCTCTATGGGACTCTCTCACCCCTGCGCTGTTTTACACATTACAGCTGGTATACATTTGATAGGAAAAGAGCAAAAACATTGGTTCTCTATTAAGCGTCTTTTTCTGACATACATGGTTTCAGTTTCAGTTTCTTGCATTAAATCTTTTAAGAAGCATGAAAATTAGAAGAAGGGGATGCTTGGATATAACCTGCTGCATAAGCAAAATGCACATCTGGGCATATGTAATAGCTGTTTGTTTTAGTATTATATATGCCCATACTTTTAAACTGTGCAATGCTCAGTTTAAAAGTATCAATGATGGGAGGGAGGGAAGGAAGGAATCTTTCTCCATAACAAAACCTAAGATGCAAGTTAGAACAGAATGGTCTATCATCTAAAATTAAAATGCATGATATTTGGTCCCCTTCTGATTTCTATTGAGTCATCACCTTTTTATATTTGGCTCTGTCTTCTGTGAGTAAACTCATGTTTTAAAAAAGTTTTACATGTTTAAGAATAAACATAATGATAAAGTGGGCTTTAGCTAAAGAATCTGAGTAATTTCTATACATGTGTGAGGAAGAGTCAGAGAGTGAGCCGTCCCCTCAAACATCTAAAGTAGAGAAAGCAAGGGAAACACTGGAGGCAGAATGGGAAATAGGACAAGAGATACAGCAAGAGGCAGAACAAGAGGCAGAGTCGCGTGCTGGAGAGAAGAAAGAGGTTTGCGCGGAAGAGATAGGGTTGGCGCATAACAGTGGAAGCCGCGAGGAAGAAGGACAGTTAGTTCAGTTAGAGATGGCTGAGAGAGGGCAGTTAGGAACTGTTTGGGAGAGGATCGACGTATTTCTAACCACTGAAGAAAAGGGTGAAACTAAAGAAACCAAGAAAGTAACAGTGTTTAACAAAAACGCGCAAGAGAGACTTGATAAAGGTATCCAAGTATTTTCTGTACCAAGGAAAAGAGCCGCAACCAAGATTGATGAAGAAGACAACGAGAAGTTAGTCAAGGAGAAACGAGACCAATAATACCAGGTTTGAGCCCTGAAGAATGGACGGTCCTGGTTTATCCCAAGGGCAGGGGTCCGGAACGGATGGTACACCATCCAGATCCAGCCATGGAGAAAGAGAAGCCAATAGAGGGAAAATGGGCTCGCCACCCTTGTTGTGGGACTCTGTGTGCGGTTCGCAGCGGGTGTCTGAGGTTACCAACCAGTCAGGAGAAGGCAGCAAAAACCTACTATTAAAAGACACCCATAATGAAAAGTCCCTCATGTGGTTCTGGGAATATTCACCCCCACAGTTATCGCTACATAGTTCTATAGAGTTGAATAAAGATGAAACTACTAGTTACGTTAATAAAGGTTCTTTATTTAATAATAATTCCGAGTTGTCCTTTGTATTGCCAGAAGATGAACAGCCCAAGGTAAATTCCGAACCTGCTTACAACATGTAAGAGAGATCCTGAGTTTCACAATGAAGCAGAAACACTGTTTTCCAGGTATCTAAAACAGTGATGCTGGAGGAGACTCTTGAGAGTCCCCTGGACTGCAAGGCGAGCAAACCTATCCATTCTAAAGGAAATCCAATCTGAGTGCTCACTGGAAGGACAGATCCTGAAGCTGAGGCTCCAATACTTTGGCCGTCTCATGAGAAGAAAACATTCCCTGGAAAAGACGCTGATGTTAGGAAAGTGCGAAGGCAGGAGGAGAAGGGGATGACAGAGGATGAGATGGTTGGACAGTGTCATCGAAGCTACCAACATGAATTTGACCCAACTCCGGGAGGCAGTGGAAGACAGGAGGGCCTGGCGTGCTCTGGTCCATGGGGTCACGAAGAGTTGGACACGACTAAACGACTAAACAACAACAACAAACAGTTAACCTTATCTGGTTCACGGCAGGGCAAGAAAGGGTTGTTAACTACAAGTTGCATTTACCAGTAGCAGCAAAGGAAAGAAGCAGATATTAATAATGATGCTCTCTTCCTTTGCCGTTTCTACAAATTTAAGGAGAGGAACTTACTAGAAATCTGTCAGGTAGCAAATATTTCATAGATGGCTCACAATTTTGCTGATCTATTAAGGATGTCAGCGGTTGCTGAAAGCGTTTAACTTCTTCATTTTTAATCTGTTTTGCTCTTATCGTCTTTCAGCCGCTGACTCCTGAGATTCATTACTACTACATTGTTGAGCTGTCGTACTATTGGTCCGTAATGTTTTCTCAGTTCATTGACATCAAAAGAAAGGTAAGAGATGTGTATTTTTTAAAAACAGCACTGCTTTAATAGGGCTGCGTTAGCACACTAGGTTAACACTTCAGCTTTCAGTTGCAACCCTGTGTTTCTAGCTGCAGATGCTTAGTGATATCACAACAGTTGTGAATAGCTATTCTGTTTCTCAGCAGACTAGATGTTATCATGTTTCTGGACTAGCCTGAAATGGCTTTAACATCTACCTAGCATGTGACAGTGTTGGTCACTAGTTAATAACTACATTGGCATTCTCATCTATAGTAGAATAATGCCTTCTAGGAAGCATTCATCTGTGATGTGGCAAAGATTAATGTATTAGATCAGCAACCTAAACACTATGCCAGCTACAAATACTATTTACTAGCAGACAGTGGGATTATTATTATTTTTGCCAAAATGAACTACTCCATGGAGTTCCAAGCATGCTAATGTAAGTGGCACGTTGCCTTTTCTTATTGCAGTGGGGTGTTAGCTAATGGCGATGGCAGAAGGGTTCAGGGTATTTCTCCTAAAGAAATACACTTCACGTGTATGCAGTTCTCCTTTTGGGAACCAGACACCAAATTCTGCAGACAGTAGTTATTGTTAGAACAAATGAAGTGCGGTGAAATCACAAGGTGAAAGAGAAGCAGAAGAAATGTTTAAAGACAGACAGACAAGCTGTTCTGAAGCCAGAAGGAGGACAAAATAAGTTCAGCTGCCTCCTGGAAGTACAGTAAGTCTGGAGTCAACCTGCCTTTCCTGGAGTTCCACTATCGACTCCATTCCCTTCCAACTAGTAAATCAGGTTCCACCTTTTCTGTTTGCCCTCATATTGTAACTGGATATATTTCTTCCAAAATCCTGTTTAGAAATATGTCCAATTAAATATGAGGGCAAACAGAAAAAGTTGAAGCAAATGTACGTCTATGCCCTGCGGACTGGTATTTTAGGACAGGTGACAGATACGGTACCCTGGAAATCAAGATTAGCAGCACAGAGTCAGTTTCCTTTTCTGTGAAGAAGAGGGTCTTCTGCGTGTTCTGCCACACTAGTCTGTGAAGCTTCTGGGAAGAATTAGTCTGCTGCTAAACAATTATTTCTGTAATTAGCCCAATGTCTCCTCCCTTCATCATTTTCTAATTAGTGTTTTAAATATTCACGTTTACTTGCTATGCAAAAAGCCAATCCTTATAATTTGAATTAACAATACACTTTGGATAACTTAGGGAATAAATAGATTATAAAAACAGATAAGGCTTCTGAAGTCATAATACCATAGTTATAGGCCAAGTGATTTTAAGAACAATCTGTTCTTTTAAGAACATTTCAAAATGAATGTCAGAGATTTAGAGGGAAGGATGGAGCTTGCCAGAGGCTCTCCCACTGCTTGGGGTAGGAGGCTCTGCACTGTCCCCAGAGGGCACTGGCCCCTAAATACATCTGTGAGCATGCGCATATCCAGCTGTCCCTCTACTGCACCAGAAGGTGTGGCAGCACTGCTGGCTACACTTGTGTTCTTCCCCTCCCTGTTGAATGCAGAGATCAGGAGCTGCAGGAGAAGGCTCCGGCAGTAATGATGGCAATGCGTCCACTGCTCAAAGAAAGAAGGAAGGAAGGAAGCAGCTGCTTGCCAGCCTTTAACTATCTGTCTGTGGGGATGCTTTGTTCTGAGGGCCTTCAGCATGAAGATACAGAGAAGAGTGGTTAGGGAAATTATCAGTGCTGCTTTTCTGGCCACCCTTCTGATTACGTGTTCATGCTGAGTACTTTTTGGAGTGAAGGCACAGACAAATGATTCTGAAGAGCTGCTTGCTGCTAAGGCCTGGTGGCAGTGAGGGTGTAGGGAACCAGCTTCCCCCTACACTGCACCTGAGGCAAACATCTGTTTGGGTTGGCCCTGGTTGCCACAGTACCTGAGGAAACTCACTGGGAGAGGAATTTCTCCCACTGCTAAGACTGTGCCTGACTACGTATCAGTTTCACCTCAAAGCAAGTAAAGTGGTTTATTGTATTGGAGACCCTGAAATCTCATGTACAAATGGGCCTTCTTGAGCCCTGCAAGCCAAAAGAAGCTTAAGAGTTCCTGTTGGATGCTTCATCATGAAACAAAGTCCAAAAGGAAGCCACAGTGTGTTAAAGATGCCTTCATGGCTTTTGAATTGCACTGGGCCCAGACTGGATAACTAGTGTGGTGTAGTGGATAGTTTGACGGACTAGGACTCTGGAAAACAGGGTCTGTACCCCCCCCTTGGCCGTGGAAACTCACTGGGGGAGTGGAACTGATAAAACCACTCCTTAAATACCTCACTTCCTTTGAAAACATGTTAAGGTTGCCATAAGTTGGTTCCAACTCAAGGCACAGAACAACAACAAGCCCAGATCCTTAATAAATTGCATTTTATCCATCTGGTTAGAGAAGACGACTCTTCTTCGTAGAGAGGGAATGTTTGTGTTTGTTTCCCTCTTATTCTGTCTCAGAGTAAGAAAACGTGAAAGGATAAGATGAAAGAATGTGGCTCCAAAGCATTGTCTATTTGTTGCAGAGCCAGATCAGCCCACCAGTGTATCCCTACTAAGACATTAAGCACAAAAGAAGCTAAATGGGTAGTAGAGATGGGATTTGCATGCAAACCCTTTTCCTACATCCTCATCTCAGGAACTTAGACATTTACACAATGAGTACAAGTGTCTCTAAAGGATCCTTCAAATGTGATCCATTGGAAATACTTACAGAGTTCCAGTGATTGTCTTATCAAGGATCACAGGATCTGTAAGCTCATGCAAACAAATGCAGTTGTAAGCTCCTCTTCAGACCCTTGCGCTAATCATGCAAAAGTCTACCTGACTGCCAGCTCTCTCTCTCTCTCTCTCTCT